TCTGGCTAACAGCAGCAGTACTGCATTACTGTGTAGTCAAATATTGCCACATAGCAGGACAACTTTTTATTGTGTGGTAAATTTATTTTTTTATGATATGATTTCTTATCAGCATTTAATCGTTGTATATCTCTATAGCACGTAGTATGGTTCCTCAAAGCATGCATGTAGTATATCACAAACAAATCAAGGATATTACCATATACATAATCTTCAACAGGGAAGTTTACATTCTTGTGTCTGTTAAGTATTTCTTTCCCGAGTCCTCCCACCCACCCTCTATTATTCAGTCCTCTCTCATACAGTCTCTGGTATCCACACTTATCCTCACTACTGTTGTATCTTCAGATCTTTTGATTTCTGCCATAGAGTGTAGATATGTGTACATATTGAGCGGGGACATACAGTGTTTGTCTTTTATGGTCCAGCTTATACTACTTAGTATCAACTCATTTGTATTCATCCACTTTGTATCAAATGACAGGGTCTGGTTCCTTATGGCTGAATAGTATTCCACAGCATATATGTGTCACATTTTTTAAAAAAAGAACTATTTATTTAATTTCACTTCTTCTGATTATTTTTTAATTTGACCAGACAGAGACAGAGACAGAGAGAAAGGGAAAGTGAGAAAGCAAGCCACCAAGTCCAGGACTTGAACCATGGTTGGCCATGTGGGACTCCAGCATTTTTAACCAGCATGCTACTTGCTGGCCCATGTGTCACATTTTTAAAATCTAGTTATCTGTTCTTGAGAACTTAGGTTGATTCTATGTCTTAGCAATTGTGAACAAAACTACAATAAACACAGAAGTTCACATATCTTTCTGACTGCTTTTCTATCCTTTGGATAAATAATAAGGAGTAGGATGACTGGGTCATATGGCAATTTTATTTATATTTTTTTGAGGCACTTCCATACTGTTTTCCACAGTGACTACATTAATTTACATTCCCACCAACAATGTAGGAGGGTTCCTTTTTACCGTGGTATTACCAACATTATTCTTCTTTCTTTTTTTGATCATAGACATTATGACTGGGGTTAAGTGGTATCTCATTGTAATTTTGATTTGCATTTCCTTTATGACAAGAATTTTTTTTTAATTTGCATTCTGGCCATTCATATGTCTTTGTAGAGGGTTGTTTGTTCAACTCATTGCCCATTTTTAAATTAATTTTTTCTAGAGGTGAGTGGCTTGAGTTGCCTATATATTCTGGTTATCAAGTTACGATGTGACGCATAGTTTGCAAGTATTTTTTCCCCATTCTAAGGGGTTGTCTCTTCACTCTAATTATTGTTTCCATTGCTGTACAGAAGCTTTTTAGCTTGATGTAATCCCACTTATCTATTTTTGGGATTATTACCTGTACTTTAGGGGTCTTATTTAAGAAATTTTTGCCTCCTCCAATGTCTTCAGGTGTTTAGCAAATATTTTATCAATATAACATTTCACCAAATGAATGCAGAGAAAATAATTAACAGCTATTGAAACAATTCTGTGGCCCAATCATTAAACAAAAGACAAAAATCACAGGGTCATATTTACTACTGTAAGCTCAGGATTCTATTACATGTATCCCCAACACAGAGAATGTATATAAGGGAAGTTTTCCCATAATTGTATCCTCAAAATACTGTAATAATCAAGCTCCAATATTAAATTAAATCTCATTTTTTCAGGAAATATGCCCAATTATTCCATGACTTGAAGATCAGGTAAACTCATATTCAAGAATAGTAATTCAGAAACTAAACAAAATAGAGAATGGAATGTATTTATTCTCTTGCCTATACAATTCCATGAGCTTAACTCATACTCTTCATACTCTTTAAAAAAAGAAAAAAAAAAATCTGGGCAAAGAAAATCTCTTCTAAAATTCAGGACAAATATAATTGCTGGGATTGAGAGAAAAACAAAGTAGGCTTAAAAAAAAGTATTCTATTTTATAGATCTTTCTCTTGGGCATAATTACAAAGTGACATTCATGTGCAACCAATGAGGCCCCTATTTTTTTCTCACAAAATTCAAAGACATCAGCAAAACCACCTATGTCAGTAATAAAAATAAAAAGTCTTTGACTTTTTAAATGTTATCATACTGTCACAGTGGAATAAAATTAGCTTGAAAAATGATCTAAAGGCACATGATGCAGTTCATTATGTATAACAGCAACAGCAGCGGTTTCCCAGTGTTCATAAAGCCTGCTCCATTAAATTTACCTCCAGTCAATAATTAGGAGTCCACAAATAAACCTGGGCAATTAAATCAATACTGCCAGGCAATTATATTCCAGAGTCCAGGCTCAGTGGCACAAAAAGGCACTATATCAAACTGCAGTATTAAGCAGACTGATGCCATTTGCAACAGGATTTTTTCACTAACTGGACAGAATATAAGTATATATTCAGATAAAGTAGAATGTATGTATGTAACTCTATTTGTGCTAACCAAAAAAACAGGTCTAATGTCAGTATAATTTTAGTATGATTTAATAAAGATGTACATATACGAATTTATTGCTTGTATGATCATAAACTGACAATAAAATTTCAAATGAAAAGAAATAGAAGGTTGTATGTCTAAGGTAAACATTTAAAAGTACATTAAAAAGTTTATTTAAATCATTTTTTTAAGCTGGAAAAAAAAAAAAAACTCATGATGATCATTACTTACCTCCTTTATGTACCAAGCTCCGGCTGGGTTTGGGCACACAACATGATTAAGAAATGGCCTCTCTTGGGGCTGGTAGGTGGTATGATAGTTAAGGTTCTGCACTCCTACATGGCTGACCGTGGTTAATGTCCCAGTCCTGGCAGCTTGCTTTCTCACTTTCCCTCTCTACCTCTTTGTCTCTCTTTGGTCAAAATAAAAAATAATAATAACAAATAAAATGGGACCCAGTGGATGGCATAATGGTTATGATCCTGGAATCTGATATAGTCCACTGTGGTTCAGTCCTGGACCTGGCAGCTTAAACTCACACCAGACATGTGTGCCTGCATGTGTGCCCAAAATCCCAAGAAGAGAATAGAGGAGAAGGGATTATGGCATGGCCATCCTTCCTGGATTTTTTTTTCTTGTTTTCTGTCTCTCTGTCTCACTCGCAAGTACACGTGCCCCATAGCAAAAATCTCTTTCAAAATAAATAAACAAATAATAAATTAAGTAATTAGTTTTTTAAAAAGGCCTCTCTTCTCCAGAGTAAGTTGTCACCATAATAGGCTTTGTCTAGCACCCTTACATCTGCACTTAAACAAATTTGAGCAAAGATTACTCATTGCTTATTATTATTATTGAAGTGATTCCAGATATGTTTAAAAATATACAAAACTGACATCAAGAATATAGCTTATGGGGGACCAGCAGTTAGTGTAATGGCTATGTAGCTTGACTCCCATGTAGTTGACTGCGGTTCGTGTCCTGGACCTGGTGGCTTAAAACTCACGCTGGGCACCTGTGTGTGTGCATGCCCAAGATCCTGAGAATGGAGGAGAAGAGATTGCAGCATGGCCATCCCCTCTTGGGGTGATTTCTCACTTTCTGTCTCTATGTCTCTGTCTGGCGAGCACATGTGTCCTATAGCAAAAACCTCTCAAAACAAAACAAAACAAAATAAAATAAATAAAAGAATATAGCTTATGGGACCAGCAGTTAGCGTAACGGCTATGTCGCTGAACTCCACTGTAGCCGACTGCAGTTCGAGTCCCAGACCCAGTGGCTTAAACACATGCCGGGTGCGTGTGCATAGATGCCCAAGATCCCAAGAGGAGAATGGAGGAGAAGAGATTGCAGCATGGCCATCCCCTCTTGGGGTGATTTCTCACTTTCTGTCTCTATGTCTCTGTCTGGCGAGCACATGTGTCCTATAGCAAAAACCTCTCCAAAAACAAAAGTATATAGTTTATATATTATTTACTTATCCTTGATATAGCAAAAGCACAGAAACTGCTATTTGTTATTATAAATATAATATCAGCTTTTAGTTTTAATCTTTACATAGAAACATTTACAATGACATTTTAAAAATCACAGGATAGTCATTTTTTTCCTTATTGACAAACATGTTTTAACTCTTTTTTATTCTAGTTATTTTTTTAAATAAACAATTAGAGCAAAAAGAACTAGAATAAAAAAAGTTTTAGAATACATTACATGCTGTCAGTGATGTCAAAACAAAAGCTGATGATGACTAGAAAAGCAGGGCTCTCACCTGCCAATAAACTGCCCTTGATCACTTACAAGAGGGGTGCATCCCAGCAGACTATATGTGTATTAAAAAAAATACTTTAAAGGGAAGAAAAAGTATCACACAGGTCACAGCAGCAGTCTCAATAGACCCCTCAGGGATTTCAACTTGTCTTGGCCTTGTCATCCTCTATGCAGCTTTCCACTCGGCCCAGAAAATGTCGATAGGAAAATGTTTGAGGGGCCTCTGGTGGAAATTTTTTCATTCTTTCTGCATTGACAGGATGCCAAATCAATATTTACTTCCCACTAACAAGCTGCTTGAGGTCTCAGTAGAAAATATTGTAGAGAATGCGGGAAGACACAGTAATAAACAGCTGTCTGGCTGTGAGGAAAACATGAATTGACTGGAAACAGGTCCATAGTAAAAGGTCACTGAAACCCATGAACTCCTCAGGTGTCCATATCAACTACTAACTTTAAAGACACATAATAAAGAATCTCTTTTCCTAAGAGGTCTGAGAGAATGGATCCTTTTCAGTCTAGCAAACACAGAGGTTGACTCAATAATTTAATTAATGCATCTGCTACAAGACCCATGTTGGCTCTTTCCCAAGGCATTTGTTTCATTTGTTAAGTCCAAAAGTACAAATAGAGGGTTAACTTTCTAGTCTACCTATTGGAATACTTCTTTACCTAAAAGAAGTAAATAATGGGCAGTGTTTACAGAAAGTTAGGTATCTAGTAGAAGTGCAAGGTTTGGAATTTTTATTTGGAAGTTGTAATATACAAAGCAGAAAAATGAAATACCTGTCCTTCCAGAAGTTTCTGAATATACAACAGCCATTCTTTGTCATTTTCAGCATCTATCTTTATCTTTTCAATTTCCTAAGGATAAAATTAAAAAAGCTGATATTCATTGCATATATGAACTTGATCATGCTATTAGCTATTGAATAAACCAAGAGTGATATCAGTAGAATTAGATTCAACAAAGAGTGCCTCTCCCCTCAAAGTAGGAATATTTACATCCATGTTCTTTACTATTCAATTTATAAATATTTACATCCATATAGAAGATAAATCTGCACTTATATTTCTCACAATAACTCGGTAATATTTTATTTCTGCCTTCACAATGGAGCTGGAGGTAGGACCTAAGCTCGAGTAAAAACAATTAAAATATAATGAAAGATAAGATAGAGCCATATAAAAGGATCATTTATAAGATTACGTAAAACTTATACTGAAAAATCTGACTTGTCAACATATAGCTAGGGGGTAACTGCTATAGTTACAAACAGAAGAGAACATGACACGAATCTGGTATATTTAAAAGCTTGCTTATTTAAAATATACAACAGCTTGTTTATCTAAAATGTTCAGCTAAGTACTTTTAATCCATCAACTCTCACGATAAAATATTTCTGAAATTATAATGTACTCACACATGCAGTTGATGATTCACTTAAAACCATAACTAAGTTCTCAAAAAAATTGACTTTTTGAAAAGAGAAGGAGTTGAGAAATGAAGACGTGTTAAAATTTACTCTATGTTAGGTAGCAATGTAGGTATATCATACAGGTTACTAGAGTTTTGACATGAATTTACTATAGTTCTATATAGTTTATTTTAGGTGCTTTGGGGTCTGCTTGGGCAAGTACTCAACTCTTTAGGGTTCTGAGAGATTCACAATCAGTCTAAATAAGCTCTGGTCTACAATTAAATCTAGGAAATATGTCAAGGTGTACGGAGAATAGTGTGTTTGTACTTCAGTTCTTTTACTTCTAAGAGAGCCTTCATTTAAGGTTATAGAAGATACTTAATACAATGCTGTGCCCTCTGGCTTCAGACTGCATCTGATCAGAGGCAGGGATGCCTTTTTTTTTTTTCTTTCACAGAAATGCACCATCTAGTTTTGAGGACTATAAAGAGAGATTCTTTTCTAGTTCATACATTCAATGGAGAAAATGTTTTTTTAAAATCTGTCCATTCAAAAGAGGTGTGCTTTTTTAATTTGCCAGCCTAGGAAAGGCATCTTTTTAGATACCAAACAAAGATGATGACTCTGTATTCTAGAGTATGTACATATGTTTATGGGCAGACATGTGCACAAGCATGCACATGCATACAGACACATCCACTTGTAGGATTTTGCTAAATCTGTTTGCTTTAAACTACCAGGCAATAGTAGAGGCCTTGACTTTAATATTTTGTTAGGTTTTTAATTATAAACAAATTTTAGATAAAAATATGTATATGTTAACATCTTTGGCAGAGGTACTATTATCTCTGTTGTTCTATATTGATACTTTGATGTTCTCCTACTTCAAAATTTAGAATTTAATAGAAAGTTATGATGTTATGGCATAGCTGCTGAAAATAGGAAACAGGAAATTCACCATCGTAGTCATTCTTGAATGAAAATAATTTCTGCAGGATTCCTTTGACCTCTCTTCTAATAATTCTTGCAGTTTAAAACCTTTGTAAATTGTAACTCTAGTCTAGAATTTTTTTTTTATTTAACTTTATTTATTTATTTATTTATTTATTTTAATTTGACCAGAGAGGGACAGAGTGAGAGAGAGAGAGAGCTGGGGGCAGAGTGAGAAAGCAAGCCGCCAGGTCTGGAACTTGAACTGCGGCCATGTGGAAGTCCAGCGCCCTTAACCACCACGCCACCTGCTGGTCCTTCTAGTCTAGAATATCTTTTAGAAGCTATTAGGTAGTCAGGAAAGTCATGATTGTATGATGATTTCATACAAACATTTAAATTTATCTTTCTACTTTATTTTATTGCTAAGACAGTGTGTACATTCACCAGTGAGAAAGAAAGAGAGAGAAGAGAGAAAGAAAGCACCCTCCAGTGGGGCATGGACAGCCTTCATTTCTCCATCCTGCTGTGATTTGGGGCATGCACACACATGTACCTGGCATGTTTTTCAAGCAGCCAGCGCAGGGATTCAAACCATGGTTGGCCATGTGGCATTCAGCGCCCTTAACCACTAGACTATGGTGTCAGTCTGAAGTCTATCATTTCATTTACTCACTGAACAATATTTATTGGGAAGCCACTAGTGCCATCATCTTTTTAATCTTCTCAAATAATAAACTAATGTTTGTCAATTAAAGTTCAGAGGCATAGTAGAACAGGACTGAGAATCCTCCACAGGTTTACAGAAGACTATGTGTAGAATGATGTTCCCTATTGAGGAGGTAGTAACTGTGTTGAAAATACAGAGCCCCATCCAAGAGGTGCTGAACTGCTACTGAAGACCTACACCTAAGTGCAAATGGGCCAGCCTGTGACGTCATGAGTAAGGAAACTGAATCCCACGTGACTTACTGCAGTTTGATTCCCAGACCCAGGGGCTTGAAAAGTACACTAGGCACATGTGCGTGCATATGCCCAAAATCCCAAAAAGAGGGAGAAATGAAGGAACTGCAGTGTCACAATCTCCCATAATGGGATATTTTCTCATTTCCCTCTGTCTCTCTGGTGATCACATGTGTCCTCTGACAAATCTTGAAAAAAAAAAAAAAGCATATACATTCACTCAGGAATATTTTACCCAATTTTACAGCAACAAATGTATTTTTCAAAACATATTTCCAAAAAATTATTAATCAACAATAATTTTGAATTTAGCCAGAAAGGCACAGATTCACAACTTAAAAAAAAAATCTCATATAGGAGTGAAAATCCTCTAATCAATGGTAACTCAGCTTAACTAAATCCACTCGAACTGGCTTAATTAAAAAGACTGGCTTACTAGACATAGAATATGATTAGTTAAATTAAATAAAATGAAGGAAAGGAGACAGGAAAGGATAATTGACTTGAAAAACAAACAAGCAATTTAGAAACTTATATGTACTGGCCTATTTCTCTATTTCTGTATTACACGGCTAAATTTCTCTAAAGGTTTTGAGTTGTTTAATACTTGATGTGTATCTTTCACTGGACACTTCAACAATCTTGTCTTTACTAATATTACCCTTTTTAAGTGTGTGTGTGTGTGTGTGTGTGTGTGTGTGTGTGTGTTTGGTCATAGGGCATGTGTGCTCACCCCAGAAAGACAGAGAGAAGGAAAGGGAGAGATCGCCCTGCAAGGAGAATAGCCATGACGTAATACCTTCTCTTCCATTTTCCTCTCAGGATTTTGGGCATGAATGCACATGTATCTGGCATGTTTTTCAGGCCACCAGGTCCAGGTCTTAAACTGCAGTCAGCCTTGTGGTATCCAGTGCCTAACCAACATACCAACTGCTTGTCCCCATTAAGATTATATTAAAGGTTAAATTCTTTGGGAGCCAGTAGGTGACATGGTAGTTAAGGGCACTGGACTCCCACATGACTAATTGCGGTTCAAGTCCCAGACCTGGTAGTTTACTTTCTCACTTTCTCTCTCTCTCTCTCTCTAGTGAAATTTAAATAAATAAATAAATAAATAAAGTTAAATAACTCTTTTAAAAAATCTATATTCCTAAAAAAATTAATTTTTTAAAGAGTGATTTTTGCTATAGGGCGCTTGTGTTCACCAGAGAGACAAAGAGAGACAGAGCAACAGAAAGTGATAAATCATCCCTCGGGGGGATGGTCACACCACATCCCTTCTCCTCTATTCTCTTCTTGGTATTTTGGGCTAGCACTCACATGTATCCAGTGTGAGTTTGAAGCCACTGGGCCCTGGACTCGAACTGTGGTCGACTATGTAGGAGTCCAGTGATATAACCATTATGCCATCTGCTGGCCCCTTTAAAGATTAAATTCTATGAATTATAAAACAAAGTATATGTACTTATTGTTAATAAATATTTAAATAATCTTACCACTTCATCTTCTGTGTCTAATATTTCTTCTAGATCTGACCGCGAAATATTCAGAATAGAAGCTGCCAAGGTCTGGGCTTTATGGGTAGAGGTTTTACAAGTGTTCCTGTTTTTCTGCATTTTTTTAAGCTCCCTGATTCGTCGCCTTATCACATGAACATCATTTTGTAACTCTTTGACCAAAGCCTGCAACATATTGAAAAGAATACAGGCTTATAAGAAAGTCATAATAAAGACAAAGCATTCATAACAAAAATGTGAAAACACTAGCATAATATTTTTATTAGGATTATTCTAATTTTATTTTCTAATATAATGGATTTCTCTTTATCTACTGCCAGTATACAGTGAAAATTCTCTTAAATCATCACTTAACCAGCTCACTGGATTAACCCAAATGCTCCAAGTCTTATTTCAGAAATACCAAATGATATCTTGGTTAGTGAATGCTTATAGTAGACAGGCTATGGTTAATTATTCTAAAGCACAACCACTACTGGTTACCTAATGCCAAGAGTCAGTTCTATTTATTCCTAAATGTAACTATATTAATCTTACCAGGTTAGTTAAATAATCATTTAATTATAAAACAAACTGACAAAAATGACTGCAGAAAGAGTTGTTTTTATTTTATTAAACTGGATTAGACATATGTTGGAAGGAGTTGAGAAAGACAAGTGAGTAAAAATACAAATAAATTATGTGTGGGCAAGATGATAAAGGATTTTTAAAAATCCTAAGAACTCTAAGATTGTTTTCAAAAGCAATCTTAAATTTCTTAAAGTTTCCTCTTTAAGAAATCAATAAATGCTAGCCCAAACCATACATCTATGTGTGCATAAGAAAAGCTACTTTTGGGGGGTTATCTTGAATGGACAGACTTCCATACCTCCAGGCAGTTTTGTGAGTTGAGAGCCAGTCAGTTAGATGTTTGGACTGTTTCTGACCTTCTGTTAGGTCAAGCAACATTGTAATAAGTAAAAGTGCTCATATATTAATTATGTATCTCTAGAATACATAGGTAAAAGTGAAACAGCTGGATCTATGCATGTGTACAACCGTCATATTGATGGCAATAAGTTCATTCTATTCCTGCTCCTTCATGACAGTATCAAATTATACCTTTTCATAGATGGGTGAAAATATGTTTCTCCACACACTGTTTTCAGTATAGTTTGATGTAGCCACATTTATTTCTGCTTTTGTTCCTGTGCTTTGGTCTCATATTGAAAAAAAAATTGACAAGATACAGAACAAAAATTTTTTTCCTTATGTTTTCGTTTAGGAGTTTTATGGTTTCAGGTATAATATTTAAATTTTCAATCCACTGTTAATTAATGTTTTTGAGTGGTGTATTCATGGATCTAATTTTATGCTCTTTCATGTGGTTTCCCAGCACCATTTTCTGATGACACCATCCTTTCCCCTTTGTTAATTTTTGGTGTCCTTGCCAAATATTAGTTAACCTTATAAAAGGGTCTTTAAAAAGTTCATGGAAATGCATATTATTGGGAAAAAAAGACTTATGCGTGAATTTCAAAGTTATTTGTACCAATATAAACTTGGACTAGCTTGTTATAACATGTCTGAACAGGAGTCAGTTTGAGGGACTAATAAGGATAAAACATCAGTTTGAAAAGAGCCCTTATAGGAACAACATAAATTCTGTTAAAATTGAAGCAAGAATAAGCAATATGGTGAAGTTTAGGTGAAAGACTGGTATTGATGCTTTATGAAAAGCTATGAAGACACTGCCCTCAAAGAAATCATCAGTTTATAAATAGATAATTGATTTTAAGAAAGAATAAGATCATGTTGAAGATGATGCCCATAGTGGTAGATCATCCACATCAATTTATGAGAAAATTAATCTTGTTTGTGCTCCAATTGAAAAGGACAAATGGTTGACAAAAGAAACAACAGCCAACACTATAGACATTCAATTAATTCAGCTTACACAATTCTGACTAAATTATTAACACATTTTTTGATTGATGAGTACTAAAATTGTTGTACCCAGATCGGCTGCAAGACAACAGCAGATCGTTCAATGGAAATATTAAACAAGTAAGATGATTCTGAAGCATTTCTTCAAACTGTAACAGGAGGTGACATGTGGCTTTATCTCTGTGATCCTGAAGACAAAGCACAATGTAAGCAATGACTATCAAGAGGTGGAAGTAGTCTAGTCAAAGCAAAAGACTGGTAAAGAACAAAGGTCACAGCAACAGTTTTTGGGATGCTCAAGGCATTTTGCCTGTTGATTTTTATGTTCTTTCTTCCTCTCCTGCTGTCTTGTAACTTCATGACGTAAGCTGTTAACTTAATTTTGATCATACAAAAAATCCTTTTATTTTCACTTTTCCCTTTGCATTTTAGGTTATCAAGGTTACAAACTGTATCTTTTTATACATGTATATGTATAATTATTGTAATTACAATTATTCAAAGACTTTTTAAAACTTTTCATATCAGAGTTGGAAGTGAATTGATTCATGTAACACCATTACCATAATAAAGAATTCTAAGTTTGGTTCTATAATTAGCCTTTCGAATAACTTCCTTTAGAATTTCTTTTGCGTAGTCATAACTCCCTCTAATTTTGCTTGAGAATCTTTCTCTCTTTTTCATTTTGGAAAGACAGCTTTGTCAGCTATATTAGTCTTTAGTGACAATATTTTTCTTTCAATATTTAGAACATAACATCCCATACACTTTTGGCCTGCAAAATTTCTGATGAGAAATCCATTGATAGTGTTAAGGAGGCCCCTTTTTATGTAACGAGTCCCTTTTCTCTTGCTACTTTCAAAAGGATCTCTTTGTCTTTTACTTTTGACTGCTATAATCTGTTCTGTTGTAAACATTTCGGGTTCATAATTTTGAGAACCTCTGGGCCTCATTAATCTATTTCTCTCCTCAACTTCTCAATAGGAAAACTCTTCAGCCATTATGTTAAATGGACTCCTGTTATGATGACATTCTTTGATGCCAATAAATGAAACTAATAAAGCTCATATAGCTGACCCTAAAGATGTGGAGAATACAAACTGATAAATTAGATTAATACTTAAAGATGTTTAGTGAGCTACAAGAAAGTATAAGATACCTAGACAAAATACAGAAAGCAATAAATGCATGAAAAAATGAGAAATTGAAAAAATAGAAACCACTAAAAATAAATTAACAGAAATCCTAAAGATGAAGAATAGTATGACTAAACTGAAAAACTCAACAAAGAGGATCAATAGCACACTTGATCAAGCATAAGGAAGAATCAGTGAAGCTGAAGGCAGGTCATCTGAAATCATCCAATCAAGAAAGAAAAAAATAATTCAAAAGAGTGAAGAAAGCCAACAGGAATTATGGGACACCATCAAACAAAACAAAACAATATATATGCTTTATAGGAATTTCAGAAAGAGAGGAGAGAGAGAAAGAGGGAAGTGGTGTTGCTTAACTGGATTCCGTCTTCAGGCAGTACTACAGACTCAGGTCCTTGATCTGGTAGGTCCACAAGTTAAACACTGTGGTTGAGAGGGGTCATTGGCTGTGTTCTCCACACCTGCATGGGGCCCATGGTTTTGCTCCATGTTGTTCCAGGCTCCCAGGTGGGGCTGGCTACAGGCTGTGCTCTATGGTCAAGTGGTGCTGCAGGCTAGGCTGACTGTGGGACTGCTGATGTGTTCCACCCTTGGGCAGGGTTGTTGGTTGGGCTACCTAGGACAGGCATGCTAGCTGTACCCGTAGTTAGGTGGGGTGGGAGGCTAGGCTACATTATTGGGTTTGGTGACTAGCTGTACTGTGTTATCTACTGGGGTTAATAGCTAGGCTTCCTGCCTGTGTGTGACCTGGGATCAGAAAATGGCAGGGCTATGGTCTGGGTTCTATGGCCAGGTGTGGTCACTAACTAGGCATCCTGCTTGTACAGGGCCTAGGCTATGTTCCAAAGTTGGGCACAGGCAGTTCATTCTTAGTAATACGAAGGAAAGGACAGTCTATGGGTACAGATTCAGGAGGGTGATTGGCTCTGAAAAGGGAAAGGCAGGGTAATTTTCTTCAAGTTCCTTCAGTTTTTATTTTTGTTTGTTTGTTTGTTTAATGAAATAAGAAGCTGAGATTGAGGAACTAAGAGGCATGATGGAGGTTTGAGAAGATGGAAGAATTGTTTAGGAACAGAGCCTGAATGTACTGGGATAATATAATAGGATTATCATAGAAGTTCTTGGTTATTAATTCAAATTAAGACCAATTAGCATAGTTACAGTTTTCTTCAGCCATATTAACCTGCTTGGGTTCATGTAGAAAGCAAATAAACTAACTTTTTGTCTCCTTTTATTCCATGTGAATATAACAAATAGGCAAATAAGAAAACTGAAGATATAAGCAAGAATGTGACCAAGATAGAACAAAGAATCCATACTGCATGAAGAGGGTAATGAGGAGATGTGAGGGGAAGGTGCTAACAATTAGTAAAACAATGGTGAAGTCAATGACTTTGAAGTTGTAATCAAGTCAAAGAACTGTTGTAATGTGAATACAAGAAGAAATGGTGGTCAGGTATCAGAAATGGAATTGATACAGTTATTGCTAATGACAAGACTAAAATAAATGTTTTTTAGTGAGGACAATATTGGTTTATGGAAAAATTTTACTGTGTGAAATTGTTCCTCACAATAAAGAATATTTCACAACTCTGGCTCCTGTGGCAGTAGTATATCTCAATCAGTATGATAACCAAAAGCACTCAAACACATTTCCAAGTGCTTCCTAAGGTGGGTGGTACTCCTTAGTTGAAAACCAAAGACACGGAGTATGTGATCAAACAAATCAATGGAATTAAAGATGAGAAGGGCTGGAAGGCCAAGGTATTGGCTGGCCTACATGAATGGGAAGTCATAAAAAATCATAACGGAACTGTGCTGGAGAGAAAGGCCATGATCCACATGCTAAGTTGCATGACTAATGTTCTATACAGTAAGATACAAATGGATTTGGGTTGGTGATTATATGTTCCAGTGGTTTGTTTGATCTATTTAAATGATTTCTATATTTTATGCATCCCAAAAGAATTTTAACAAAGGGATGAGTCACATAAGAATTCCAGAATCTACCCTTCCACCCACACATACCACTCAAGCGTCATTCAAAAGAGGTCCCACATGAAGTAGAAACAACCAACAGTATGT